TGCGTTCTAAAGAGACATAATAGACAAATTCAGATAGATCTACTTTATTTCTTCTACGTTCGTTGTAGAACGCGGCGGATACGAGCTCGTGTTCAAAGGGAATAAAGTTCTATGGATGCCCTTTATGCTCTAAAAACCTTTATATCATTGTTGAAAATTGCAAAGGCTGCTGAAATTCGGGTTAGGGAACACTGTAAGCAATAGGTGTTTTTGGGATGCCATCGCACATGTGTCGCTTTTCCAACAACATCCTCATTATTAACTTTTTGGGAATTTGATCTTAACGAATAATCAAAAGTAAATAAGAACATTATTCGTGTTAATCAAACTCTTGTGTAACTCAAACAATGGATGTACATACATATGTATATATTTATTATAATTTGAATAAGCATTAGTAACTTTCTCACATATAAACATAATGTCTGCATAAATTTGTTGGCAAACTAACTGATTTCACGGAGGTACGTGACGACATTAGTAATGGTGATGTATGTAGATTTTTATTTATAACTATGTAGTCTCTCACATCTGAATTGACTTTGGCATATGTCCTTATATCCAAGTAACGGCTATTTTTGGGTTATTTTAAAAGATATATTTTAAAGATTTAACTTTACATGTTTTTGAATTTTAATGTTTTGTAGATAAGTGAACAAAAACTTTCGGTGTTGCGGAATTAAAGCCTGCGTCTCCTGATTTCGCTACCAACTAAGTTAAGCGGCCGATGACTTCACGGCGCAAATTCTTGACATCTATCTACGTTCGTTCTATGCGATTTTCAGCAAAGGGGAGAATGTTAGGTTTAATAATAATCTAACCAAATGACTTAATAATACTTTATAACAAACATGTATTTATTCTCACTTATATCATTTAGTTTTTATAGTTCGGTACTTTAAAAGGTAAAAAAAGGAACTCACCATCGATTTTCGCAGGAACGGGTGGATCAATCAAGTTGAAATTTATACCAGATAGTGAGGTCTATAGTCCCTATTAGGTGCATGAAATAAAGGTCCGTCAACACGATAAAATTATATATTGTTAGAAGATAGGGTAGTAGCACATTGCGGCGGCTTATAAACGGAGCAGCGCTCGCCGTGTCAAGAGACTTTCTCGTCAGCCGTTGTAGAGTGCGGAAGCTCTACCCGAATTAATAACGATTTTGTCGGTTACTTAGCATCATAGTCAAACTTCTATGTAGTTAGGCCTACAGGCCACCAAATTCTTTTTAAAAATATCATATGTCGTTTCTATTTCCTAACAATATATTATATTTATGTTTTATCGAAAATTTCTAAGTATTTATGTTTTTATTTTTAGGAATTTCTCCTTTACTTGTGCTGTAAGACCTTGCTTTTACCCAAAATTGACAATTCTACAAGGTCAACCAGAAGTACCCTATAGGTTTGGGTCGAAATCTGGTTGCAGATGCGTTGGCGACATCAAAAAATTTGGCCTTATTTACCTCACTTACTAGACGAATCGCGTAAGTATAATACTCCCACTTCAGGACTACTGTGATACTGCATTCGTAGAACAGCAGAAACTGCTGCGTGGCCCTAGTATAGTGAAACGATTAGTCCTAATTATTCTGGCATAAGCGAGGTGTAAAAGTATTGTTATGACTGTATTGTCGGTTCTCGAATGATGTGATGTTATACCCGTGTCATAGTTATATGGTGTCTAGTTTTGCCACAACGTCAAAGTTGGAGGTAAGGTAAGTTTCTCTGGAAGAAATTACTGTTACTACCTTAGAAATAAGCCCACCTAGATGTATCCTGCATTTTTGTGTATTTCCTTGTTTGTAAAGAACTTTCTAGTCTATTCTAATGTCTTTTCTCCTATTCAATATCTGGACGACGTTACTATACTAATTTACATGAAATTAAATTAAATAATTCACAAATAAACATTTATTTATTCATGAAAAATTCACATAGTCGTATCTTAGAAATAAGAACTGTTTTGTTCGGTAATTCCTTCGGTACCGTTTTTTAAATTGTATATAAGTACTAGCAACCCACCCCGGCTTCGTACCGGTGCAATGTATTATACATATAAATTTATCTCTTGAATCACTGTTACGGCAACACCAAACGCCACTTCCGTTTAGATCGGGGCCCTCAGAGAAACCCAATTTCTGTCTCGTTACTTACAACTTCTACGGCTCAAGTGCAACATCAAAAATTGTCAGACATTAAATCATCTACGAGTGACCTAATTTTCATTGATACATCCACTTCTCTAAAAAATTTGGTCCTTCGAGCCGGATCCACTTCTCTACAATTACTGTATTTAGAAAAAATCTACATCAGGATCCGATTAAGCATATATGGAGACAGACAGACAGTGGTATGACTTTGTTTTATACTATGTAGTGATTGTATACTCAAATGACTATCAAATATATCATGAAATATCTAAAAATCCCCAAAGAATAGCTATATTAATCCTTCAAAAGTTACTTTGTATTATCGACCTTTTTTCTTTTCCTATGGACTAACAACTTAACACAATTAACATCTTTAGTTAACAAAATTCCGTTCTTAATTTTTCCCCTGAAAAATGGGGAAACCCCAAGTTGGTTAATCTGAAATCACTGGACATCGACATTCTTGTCGTAGTTATGACGTCATCACAGAGGTGGCCTGTGTCGTAGTTTATGTTCTGCTGCAACTTTAGTTGCGCAAAGTTGCAAAAACCGTCAGTATCGAATAACGCGTGTCGTAGTCGGAGATTTATTTTATATTATTTAATTAAAGTCGAAAGAACCTTAAAACCATCTTAAGGTGAGTTCCTCTTTACTTTTTTGAATCACATTTTTATATTTCTATGCTTTAAACATCAATCAATGATACAGTAACCAAACCGTTTGTCAGTATTTGTGTTTTTGTTATAAGAAAGAAAGAAACAAAGAAAGATACGTTTATTTGTTAGATCATAGTACAATATAGGACTTAAAAGCTGTGGATCCTTTATGTTCTACCATTTCTGGTGTACAAATATTTCATTTTACATTATAAACATACAAAAAAAAAAGAAAAAAACAAAAGTAAATATAATCTAGGAAAACTGTTTTCATAAAATTTTATCATTTAAATAATCCCCCGTGGAATAGTAACATTTTCTTATCAAAAAGTTAAACAGATTTCGCTTAAACAATTTTAAATTCAAAGTTTTTAATCTATTTGGTAATTTATTATATATTCTAATGGCCATACAATAACAGTTTTTGCTGAACATTGTGGTACGATGGGGAGGCATGTGTAGTTTGTTCGAGAATCTACTATTTCGATTGTTTATTTCTAAAGTACTTTTAAAGAGGGCCCGATGTTTATGAGCAAATATGCAAATTTCGAAAATGTATAAACAAGGTAGCGGCAGAATATGGTGTTTTTAAAATAGTGGTACACAACTGTCTAAGTATTCTGCGCCACTTATAGATCTGATACATTTTTTTTGCGCTCTGAAAGCTCTGATTAAATCGACCGAATTACCCCATATAATTCCATAACGCAAAATGGAGGAAACATATCCGTGATAGGCACAAAGAGCAGAGCTTGGTGTCGCAATTTATTTTAATCGGTTTAACACGTATACGTAACTTTCTAACTTGGAACAAATTTTATCGATATGTATCTTCCAGCTGCAATATTTGTCGATCGTTATGCCCAAAAACTTTGTTGATTCTACTTTTTCTAGCATCTTATTATTATTTGTAACATTTATAGATATAGGGTTACTGTTGTATGTTTGAAATTGAATAATTTTGGTTTTACTAACGTTTAAATTTAAATTATTTCTAATCATCCATTCAGTAATATTATTATGCAGAGTTTGATTTATTTGTCTTTCATAAGTATCTTTATTTTTGCACTGTATTAGTAATGTTGTGTCATTCGCATACAAGATACATTTAAACGTAGTCGCATCTGGGAGATCATTAATGTAGACTAAGAATAAGAGCGGCCCCAAAATACTGCCCTGCGCTACACCACATTCATTCAATTGATATCGAGATCGTTGTAACGTTTTTGTATAGACCTGAAAAGCATGGTATTTCAATACACTGATAGCGATCTGAAAGGTAGCTTTTTATCCAGTGTAATGCATTTCCTCTGATACCATATTTATCTAGCTTTTTTAAAAGAATACTATGTGATACAAAGTCAAAAGCTTTGGACATATCTAAAAAAATCGCTGTGATCGGAACCTTTTGATCCAAATATTCCGTTATTGTTTTTACTAATGTAAAACAAGCTAATGAAGTTGAGTAGTTTTTCCTAAAACCAAATTGTTCTGCTTTTAAAATATTATGTTTTATTAGGAAATTATATAACCTATTATGAAATGTTTTTTCAAATATCTTTGACAAAATTGGAATTAAAGTTACTGGTCGATAAGTGTTCAAATTAATAACACTTTATACTAACAAACTTTAACAGAAACCTTAAATTTAATAAAATTTTAATTAAACGAAAAGATTAAAAATCCAAAAGTTATTTTTCTCTGGCAGTATTCTAATGTAGCAATAATATGGCCAATATTCTAACAATAAGTAAGCATAAAAATTAGTTTATTAATTCACTAAAAAATTTTTAAAATATAAAGAAATTTTTATTGTCAAAACATACATCGCAAATGTTCAGATTGTGATAAGAAATTATTCAAAATCACTGTATGGATATTGATAGAATTCACTCGCGTTTTTAATTTGTTGGAGGACAAAAAATATCCTAAGATCATATTATATCATAAAACTTCACGCTTTATCAACAATTCTTATTAATCGGCGTAAAACACTAAATATTAGCATCGGAATAAACTCAATTCAGAAAGAGTCAGATCAATGAAACATAATGTTTAAAAGTAATAAGAGTAAAGTAACAGCCTATACATAATATCCCACTGTTCGGTAAAGGTCTCAACAGTGCGGAGGAGGCTTCGGTCTATATATATCGATAGATATATATAGACCAAAACAAGTGGAAATATGAATGTGCAAGGTAAGGACTATACGGCGGATGCATTAATACCTCCCAGCCAAACTCATTTGTGAGGTCTAGCGTTATCATGATGAAAAACCACACTCCTTCTGTTGATTAATTCCGGCCACTTTCTCTCAACTTCTTGCTTTAATCTCATCAGTTGTTCGCAGTAGAGTTCAGAATCGATAGTCCTGCCTGGCGGTAACAGCTCATAAAGAATAATGCCCTTCTAATCCCACCATACACACAGCATTACCTTGTTGCCAGATAACTCGGGTTTCGGCAGAGTCTGTAAAGCCTGACCAGCCTTCGACCACGTACCTTCTTCGCCCTTGTCATACGTGATCCGCTTTTCATCAGTTATCAGGTTTTCAAAAATGGTTCGGTTTCATTACGTCGTAGTAAATAATCACAAATGAGTACACGGTTCATTAGGTTTCTTTCAGTGAGCTCATGAGGCACCCAAATATCGAGCTTTTTTGTGTACCCAGCTTAATTCAAATTGGCTAATAAGCCACAAAAACAACATGTAGTAGTCATTAACCGCCACAAATGAACACAACATATTAAATATGTATATGTTAGAGCATCTGTCACTATTTCTCGCAAATCCGAAAAATACTTATCTATGGCTTGACAAGCATTAGATAAGTACGCAAAACCGAACTCACCTTGTAATATGCAAAATTGTCATTTTTTACAGTCTTATTTTAGACAAACCTAATGAGCTATGTCGTGATTTCGTTTTTGTACCTCGTAGAAAAGTATTAGTTAAAATAAAAAATGAACTATTTACCGATTTGACATTTAACATTTGTGTCAAAAGTTGGTCTCAAGTCATTCTGTGTCAATTGTATTCGGAAAGCAAGTGGAGTCGCTCTTAATAAAATAGCTGTAAAATTAAATTATTTCGTCGTAGCTAAATAGAAACACTTTTGCTACGTTTCGTAACATAAAATATGTACTTAAGTTGTGTAGGTCCTTATCTCACTGATTTATAATAAATTCAAATTGTAAATAAACAAAATTTAGAAAACCAGAATGTTTAAAAATTACACGATGCGAAATACGATGTTTGTCTATTTTTGTCCACTTTGTTTGAATAAAAATATAACTTGTTTAGTTTTCTTCTTTTAATTATATTTCAGGTAATTTGTTATTCTTTAGTGTTTTTTTCGTGAAAAAAAAGTTTTTTTCACGCAATGTGAAAAACAGATGTGAAAAAAGTCAAACAGAATAAATACCTACATGGTCCGCCCACGCAGAGGTTGCTTTAGAAATTTTAAATATAACATCGAGATCTAATGGGAATTTACTGTTATTAATTAAGTTTTATTTATAAACAATTAGCTTTTTTCAGCAATTAGCCCCACAATCAGGAAAACTCCCGTTAAGCACAGTGTAAATGGAAACTCATCCTAAGAGATCATTAGTATGATCATGAGCCTGTCCATCATGATGCGATGTGCTGGTCGTAAAAATGTTTAGCCAATAACATTTATAATATGATTTCTATGTTGTATCGACCCCATTTATGATTTACTTGTTAAGTGATAACCGCCGCCCATGGACAATTGCAACACACGTAGTGTTGCAAATGCGTTGTCACCTCTTAATAAATTCTCTACCTGCTAACTAGATGAAACACAGAAGTATAACATCTGTGAGGTCGTGGTACTTACCCGGACGGATCTGTCCATTCGTGCAACAGCCGATGTTGTTCCGTGGCCCTGCCACAGGTGTGGCAACTGTAGGAGGAGGAAGAGATGTTAATAAGCCAAGGATCTTTTAAAATGTTACAAATTACTTTAATCTGTTTTAGATGCTGCTTGCGCTGTTAGCATCTGCTATTTTGAGCGGAGCATTATTTTCCTATTTGCGATGGTTAAAAGTGAAGCGCTATTGGTCGCAGCGGGGGGTTAAGAGTTTTCCACCGAATCCAATTTTAGGCAATCTGACCTTCCTATTACGCTATGACATGGTAAGAATGAATTTTATAATCCAATAAATGGAGAAAATGATTGAAAAGTGGAAGAATTTAAAGGAATATAAATAAGGGATAGTGTATGGAATTACAATTGTCCTGTAACCTAACCTAACCTAATCAATGCGGGTAATGTATTTATCCTATCAATGTATCCTATCTCTTCAAATTTTTTTATAAAGCTGAAGGCACGAATTGGTAACATCAACGTAAAATTCACCAGCCGGTTTATTCTTCTATAGAGAGCTGTATTTTGCGTCTCATGTGGTACCATGAATGGTATGAGATAGACATATTATGTAGCAACTTGTTAACATCGAACATATTTTTCCAGAATACGTGGTTGAGGGAGATTCACCGTCGCAGCAAATCACCATACGTTGGCATCTGGTTGTTCTGGCGACCAGCCCTAATGGTCAATTGTCCGAAGATCGGACAGAGAGTTTTAATTAAAGATGCGGCCCTGTTCAGAGATAAACTTGTGACCTCCGGTTCCTCTGATCCAATAGGAAAGAATAATTTATTTACCGTTAAGGTATATTTGGGCATTTTCTTTGAGCTTTGTTAAGTGCTACTTTTTGTTCTTATCTATCGTTCATATATCTACAAGCTTAGTCACGAGTGAGATATGACAGATGTCCAACCGACTTGAATCGCAGGCAGCTACGTAAATTATAGCGTGAGCGGAAAACACGCATAACGGCCTCGCGAAACGGATTGTGGGATTCCACTAAAACCAAACTTTCTGGAAGCTGCCCAAATCTCTACGGTAACTCTCACCACAATTTCTCCACTAAATCGCACGATTCCATCTTCGCCGGCGATGTTGGACGAAGGGAAGGTTGAACACCTAGTTGACAGCCTGGAGCCTCAATGCTCCCCCAGTCTGCTTCCGATCGATTCCTAACACCTAAGTAAGGTGAACGAAGGAATGCAAAAGAGTTCCACCCCCGTCACCTCGCTCACGTGCACAGAAGTTAAGGAATCATAAATAAAGTGACCAAACTCTTTTCTGCTAGTATCATTACGATACTAGTAGGAATTTACAATACGGCTTCTTCTCATCCGAATGAATGGGAGCTGGAGTTATAGGGTTTCTCATATACTCGGAACCCAACATTCTTCTTACTACATATAGCCCAATTAGTCTTCTCAAAACCTCTGGGAAGATCTATGAACGACTAATTTTAGCCCGCTTACGAACCTTTATGGAATCTTGATGGCTCTCCATTTCCGAACAGCTTGCCTTCAGAACCAAATAGTCTTGCACCCATCAAGTGCAACGCATCACGGAGCTCATTTTTTTTTCAGGATTAGCAACACAGGAAAACATTATCCTATTGGAAGGATGTTTCGCAAACATAAATTTCACGTGGTTTCAACACCCAGATGCGAAACAACTATCTGTGGGTCACACAAATAGTTGTTCTGTACGAGGATCGAACCCACGACCCCCGACGCCAAAGCCACCTTGGCAACGGCGCTACGGAGTCATCGCTTATTATCAAAACGTCAACAAGGACTCAACGCCAGAGCACTCTTCATCGACGTAGCGAAGGCCTTCGATAAATCCTGTCACAACGAGGTCATATACAAGTATCTCATGTATCTCAATCAAGTATGGAGTACCTGATCTTTTCTAATGCTTTACGTTCAGTCTAGGCGCCCTTAGCGCCCGGTGGATCTATAAAGGCCTCCTAAAGGCCAACAATGCAAAATACAATTATAAAAATAAACAATGAGAGGAACGAGGCTATCAACAGTGAAAATACTGATAACAGGTTTAATTTATTTTATTTGGAAGCAATTATTTCACCACGGTAGAGCACCGCATCTGCTTTGACTATTCTGCCCTCAACAATCATTTGTGCATTAGGTGAATATTATTTATAGCTCGTTTTGTTTAGGATCCACTTTGGTCGTCTTTGAGGCGAAAACTGTCACTGGTCTTCACTTCAGCAAAACTGAGAAGTTTGAATGGACTCATAGACATGAAAACTAAGGAGCTCCTCCAGAGAATCGACATGGAAATGACGAAACAGAAGTGTGTCAACATCCGGGTAAAGAGTTGCGAATTTGATTGAATACTGCGAAGTATATTTTAGTAACAGACAGTTTTTTAATATATACAGATAAATAAAATTGGAGTGTCTGTTTGTAATATTAAAATAACAGCTTTTTACTAAATGCATATGGATTTATACACGGTACATATACCAAAATTTTTACAATTGTTGTCTGTCTGTCTGTCTGTTTGTTCCGGCTAATCTCTGAAACGGCTGGACCGATTTGGACGGGACTTTCGCTTACAGATATCTGATGTAAAAAGGAGTAACTTAAGCTACTTTCATTTTAGATTTTTTTTTATTTTAAAATCCACGCGGACGAAGTCGCGGGCACAGCTAGTTGTTAATACGACTTAATCGTATGCACGTTATCGTATTCAGCAGTGCACTTAAACAGGCTGAAATGATGATGATGATGATGATGATGAATCATATACACAAATGAGTGAGTACAATCACCGCTTTTTTCATTGTTAAATTACTGCTCTTATAGTTTCGCTGTTGACAACGTACAATTGGGTATTGTAATGTGGCCTATAAATCCTATATTCGTAGTGAATAGTGATCTTGACTCTTACGTCGAATGCTGTGGGTTTGATACTAACTACGGAAAAATATTGTACGATAAACATAGTGCTTTACCGGTGTCTCTGTGCTTATGTATCTATACATTTAATCATTTATTAAAGAAAATATTTGAGTACGTTTATCAGTACATGTGCAAATGCCAAATATTTTTGATTTATTTTATTTATAATCTGGGATTCTAATTAAACCCAAAATATAAAACATTACCTCTTTTATACTTTTTATTCTGATAAAAAAAATTAACGTATCTTTATAATCTTTCCTGATTGTATGGTCAGTCTTAAGGCCAACTTTTAGGAGATACACTTATTTCATTTTAAACAATAATTGGGGATGAATAATAATTTTGTGTAGTACAAAAGAAAGTGAATGAAAAAGTTCGTAACAATCGTTAATTACAAGTCGGACTATTTTATAATGAAATGAGTATTTTATAATGTTTAGAAATAATACATTTTGAGTATTTTTATAGGTTGAACCTTCCTTAAGCAAACACCCAGATCGGGAACAATTACCTCTGTCCGATACAAACGCGTATTTGTCACGTGTGGGAATCGAACCCGGAGCCCGTAGTATCGAAGCAAATGGTCGACTGTGTCACAATTAATATCAAGTAATGAAACATGTAATTTTTAATAACACGTGAGTTCTGATTTCAGTGTTTCTGAGATTTGCATGTGTCTTAGATGGTGTTTACGGATTACACGACTGACGTTATCGGTACAGCGTCTTTGGGTTTTGGTGGTGAAGCCACGTTGACTGGACACAGCCTTCTGAGGACCGTCACTAAAGAGTTCATGAACTTCAGTCTTTTCCGCAGCATGAGTTGGATTATCATGTTCTTCTATCCCGAATGGGTGGAGTTTTTTAAGTAATTAATGTGAACCTTATCACTCGCGTTTTATACATTTAGTTATGTCCAGGGCCGGATTTAGGAGAGGGCAACCGGGGCTACGGCCCGGGGCTTCCACAAAAGAGGGGCCCACAATAGAGACTTCGGAAAAAAAAATCAAATTCAGAATAGTAAACAAGTTCCGTTAGTCAACGCTAAAATTTAATTTTAGATTATTGTTGTGTCCAAATACACAATTTATATTATTCGGTTTAACAATAAATTATTTATTGGAAAAGTGTAATGAAAAAAATTTTTCATTTTATTTAAAATATAATTTATGGCCAAAGTTTACTGGTGTCCCTAGTTCATTTATGATGTTATCTTTAAAGCCAGGGTTCGAATTCGAATCTCGAAACATATATCTAGAGCTTAAGTGGGTCCTTCATTAAGAGAAGACAACAAATCCATTCTATTTTAAATTTTTAGAAAAACTTTGTGTCGGACACAGCATTTGTTTACTTAAAACTGATTGATTAGGATCATTGGGCGAATTTCTATTTATATAAAGCAGCGCCAAGATAAGAAGCGTCGTCACAAGAGCCAGGGTCGACCGAATTAACTTATTCGACCTTTGCTAACAAAAAACTTGTCTGCGTATTAGTTGAATCATTCTCGGTTAACTTGGTCAAGAATAAACCAATCGCTTTCAATGATTTTGAAAGTGATTGGTCACTTTCCACTTCTTTCTTGATTCAAATCGTTAAAGTCTTTGTCACGTCATCCGGCTTTGCGTGGCTCATTTATATATAACAACAAATTGGCTAAAAAAATTATAAGAACTTGATGAGGTTCTTTTACAAGCTGTTTTACGAATACATGACCTCTGTTGTGAACCGTGCTATAATAAATGCAAAAAAATTAAGCGTTTCATTAATAATTAGATCACATGATAGCTTTCTGTTTTACAAAATGGATTTTTTTTTGTAAAATAGCTGATGATAACAATACACAAAAATTAAATGGGGTAGTTAAAAAAAAGTCAACTTAACGGCGAGTACGCTCTTCGGTTCTATTGCTTCTTCCGTTCCGTAGTACCACGACCTCACAGAAGACCTGCGCGAAGTGGAAATGTTACACTTCTACGTTTCGTCTGGTGAGTGAGGTAGCCGGGGTCTACTTTATTAAAAGTTGGCAACGCATCTACCTAACAGCAACCCTGCCGGTGTTGTAAATGTCAATGGGCGACGGTTATCACTTAACATCAGGTGAGCCGCCAGCTCAGTTGCCACCTTCTCACATAAATAAACGGCTCATTGAGTAGTCCATGAACTAATATTTTATATTAATTTTCAGGTTAAGTGCTTTCCCGAAAACCTCTATAGATTGCTTGAGTAAAATTTACCGTTCAGTTTTGGCTCAACGCGGCGGATACGAGAATAAGATAGCCGGCACCAGAGACTTACTAGACGCTTTGATCAAGATTAAGCAGGAGTGCATGATTAATAACGAAGGTACTTTACTTAAGCCATATGCAATTTGTACTCGATTATTTTGATGTGAAACTTCTTGAGGGATACGATAAATGGACGAAAATTGATGGCGAATCGATCGATTCTCGTCCAATTTTATCGACGGTTAGAAAATAAACGATACGATGCGAATTGATAGTGAAGTTATAAGGATGCCTCACGTTTAGACACATTTCGTTACATGGGAAAGAAGAAAGAGTAGAACAAAAGAGAACTACATATCATTTTTCGATTTCTCTGGTAGAAATGCTGATTATGACTAACTTTCTGTGCATCACTAGATGTGATAGCTCTCATGATAAGACAATTTATTGTCTGTCCTACGGAACATAACAAAGTTAGGGTACCATTTGTGGATGTAACATATATTAAATAGGGTTAGATTTTTAACTTTGTGACGAAAATTGGCTTAACCGAATAGAAATACAGTTATTTGAGCGTAAGGTTATCAAGAACCTAAAAACAAGAGATGTTTTCGTTTCATTGATGTTAAATATTAGAATAGTTTATGCGATAAACTTCAAATGTGTTTTAAATATACAGAAATGTCTGAAGAAACCCTGATCGCCCAAGCGGCTGTTTTCTTGCAAGGGGGTTTCGACACCACAGCAAAAATTCTGACCTGGAGCGTTTATGAATTATCGTTTAATGTCGACGTACAGGTAAATATAAATCTTACTTGATAAAAATTATTTAATAAGTAGAATTTCTTCGTCTCAATACTCGTCTTGTTACGATAAGTGGTAATTTGTGATTTATGGTAGTAACTACGTAGTTACTACCATAAATACATAAATGAATACATATTCACCATTGATGATACTGTTACACGATAAAACTCTTATGAATTTATGTTTGTTTCAGTTTAATATATTTCTAAATTATAATTTCGTATACAAAACAGTATAATAGTTAACTAAAAGCTATTTTTTAGCGTTTTCTTTATGAAGGTACTTTATTAAAGTGGTAAAACTAAATTCATATTTTTCCCAATTAGGAAAAGCTGTACAACGAAGTTCTTGAAATACAGAACATGGAAGGAACTGATGAATTAGAACGGCTAAGCAGCGCGAAATATCTTAATGCTGTGTTAGACGGTAACGTATTAACATTGTTATGATTTGATAAGAACAAATTGACATTGACCTAAACGAAACAAATGCTATAGAACCAGTGTTCCTTAGAGTTGTTTAGTCTGAGAACCTTTTTTAAGATCGGCTCTCGATATTAACAAGATGAGATAGAGAGCTCGGGTTCTGTAAACAGTTTTTTTATGTGAAAAAGTGGCAAACGAGCTGGTTCACTTGATGTTAAGTAATAACCGCCGCCCATGGACATTTGCAACACCCGTAGAGTTGCAAATGCGTTGCCACTTTTAAATAAGCTACCTCACTCACCAGACGAAACGCAGAAGTGTAATACTTCTACATTAAGCCTGTGTTCTGTGAGGTCGTGGTCCTTTACTTTTCATTAGCTACAAAATTCAGAAAAGACGTTGAACACTTTTAATATTTGTTAGTTATTTGTTAATCGTATAAAGGGTAATTCTTGGAAGACGGTTCATGAAGATACTTGGTGCCTACCGAATAATTGATGGTGTGGTATTGTAAAAACTTGATATTGTAAAAACTTAGTCGGCAAGTGTGCTGGAAGTCGATGGATGCAGGTGACTCAGGATCGTGCTTCGTGGCAGTCTGTGGGGGAGGCCTATGTTCAACAGGCTGAAATTATGATGATGATGAAGCGTTGAAATATAAAAACCTTTGTTAAAACAGAAACTTTAAGGAAGTATGCGCCAATGGGGTGGATGGACAGAGTCGCCGCTCAAGACTACAAGATAGACGACAATCTGACCGTGCCGGCCGGAATGCCTGTATATGTTAACGCTATCGGCATCCATTACGACCCGTCGATATATCCGGACCCGATGAGATTCATGCCGGAACGATTCCTGAACAACGAGAGCACGAAGCTCCCGAATTGGGCGTTTGGCGAGGGCCCCAGGAGCTGTATTGGTAAGTTAAAGCGAAAGCCAAAGTCTTGTCCCAACTACCTCTACCCCTCTAGTGTCGTGTCTGGGGTCGCGATGATCGTGTCAAATAAATATAAATTTTAAACAATTTGTAAAAGCTACCCTACTGGCAAGGGCCTATTATAATGTCCTACAATACATTGAGGACAAGGATGTGTGGAGATGAATCCTGCTCTGCACTTGCAGATCCCTGGCTGCTGCTGATTTTATACCTATATAAGTTTGTATAATTGCATCACAAAAAAAGGTCAGGTTTAGTTTAATGAACCGGTGGTAGATTTTTTTGACGTTCATGAGTGCTTAAGTTAAGTCTACATCGAAAAAAAAGTAATATTTCATAAAACGTAAAAAGTAATACATTAATATACTTTATAAGCCGCGATGGCTCTCATGAGTTCAAAAACTGGTGCAGGCACCAATGAATTTGTGTGAATTGTTTTATTGTTTTGAAGTGCTAATTTATTACGTGCTCAGGGGCGAAAGATATCTGTCCGCCAATCCACAGTGAGATCGTGTGGTTGATATTGCCTTAATACCCTCTGTACAGATCTGGCCTTTGCGCAGCAGTGGGACATATGTAGGCTGTTACTTCTGTAATTATAGTCTGATCTGTTCTTTGGATTCGATGTGATCTAATTGACATGCTCCTTATTCCAGGCCGTCGATTCGCTCTCCTCAACCTAAGATGTGCACTCGCTCGGTTAATCCTGAACTACGAATTCCGACCAACATTGGACACTCCCGATTCGACGAAAGTGAAATTTGACAAAAAGAGCTTATTCGTCACTGCGAGTGTACCGCTCTTAATTGAATTTTCTCGAAGAGATTTGGGAATTGAAATTTAACGAGTTATTTAAATGAAAATAAAACTTACACATAGTTTGATGTTGACTTTCTTTTCTAGTAAAAAGTATCGTTATAGTATTATGGATGACAGTGTGCAAAAAGAATTACTTAAGTATCGTTATAACTTGTTTAACGTTAATATTTTTTTTATGATTATTGGCAAGTAGCGTTAGATGTGTGTTCATTTATTTTCGCGATGGTAACGACACGCTGTATAAAAATTTCGTGTCACGATGTATGTTCACGATAAACTCCGAAACTACTGAACCAATTTTTATCAAATTTTATAAGCATTTGTAATTTGGTCGAACTTGGTCGATAGGGTAGTTTTTATCTCAATTATTGATCTCAATATTTGTTATTGCAAATTATTTGTTTATTACATGACAAAGAGCTATGTGAGTCCCAAAGATTCTAACAGATGGCGGAGTAAGATAAATTTATCGGCTGGATTGAGTAAGTATCCGATAGATAAAGCAATAATACTGATCAAAACTTAACCCTTAATTTAGTGTGTATTCTGTAAATATTTCTATTTTTATTTCAATTTGAAAAAAACTTTTTTTTTAATATGAAAAGTTTGCCAGCGAACTGGTGCTTCTGATGTTTGGTAACTATCGCCCATGGAGATCAAGTGGCACACAAAATGGTGGATTGCACATGCGTTGCCAAATTATTTTAAAGTGCTAGGGCCACGCAGCAGCCTCGGCTGTTGCACCAATGGGCAGGCTCGTCCGGATTAGTACCATGAACTCACAGAAGACCGGCGTGAAGTGGAACTATAATACTTTCGTGCATCATTTGTTGAGTGAGGTAGCCGGAACCTAATTTTCAAAATGACAACCTTTTGAAAATTAGCAACTCTTCACATTAAAAATAATATCTGCTCTCATCTCTGGGCTGGGGCGCCCCAATGCCAAGTGTCTCCATTTTCCGACGTCCAACGAAATCCGGGCTTGGCGAATCATCGGCGACAGTCCTTTCCAATCTTCCCGACTCCTCGCCTTGTGAAGAGATGCTTCGGTATACGAAAATCAAAACTATCAACATTTTCTAGACACTAAATTTCCGAAAAATTTCTTAGGGTATCATAACTGTGGTAGGGCCACGCAATAGCTATTATAAGCAATGCGTCTGCACCTTTAAACAATCTTGGGCCAAGGTTGTAAAAACATGAAAGTGGTTTTAATTAATCCCTACTTCACTACTATTATTATAAATTTTACTGTTTGAATTTATTTTTGTCGTCTGTGGTCTGTGGTCTGTATGTATTGTTTGACGAACAATGTAAAAAAGTGGATATAAAAATTAGGAACCAATTGATGTGTTAAGAACCGTGCGACGTGTTAGTTTAGTAGCATAAATGATAAACCATTAAGCAGACACAAAAACAGAGTGCGAATTAGATGGGGCAAAGATGATTCAATAAACGCTCGGGCAATATTTTCCGCGGGAAAATAGCTTTGCGAGGCCAGCGCATAAATAAATCCCTGGCCAGAGGCGCAATCTAATCAGTCTTGTTACACAACGCCGGGATCAACGAACTCTGCGAAATAGATTCCCTTTTTCCCCATTACGACGGGTCCGTTTCGCTTTAAAATCAGTTATGAATCCTCAGCCGCATACAAAGGAAAGGGTTTTTATGTTTATCAGAAGGACACGTCTAGGAGATTTTATAGGTTGTCGATATCGTCAACTTTTATGGATTGCTGATATTATAATTATGTAGGTAGTAAAAAATAAAAACCGTGACAGCTCAGTGTCTACGCGCACGCCTTTAATTCAATATACTCGAGCAACCTGAGTTCGATCCCCGGTGCCAGCACCAATGAAATGTTAATTGTATGCTGTCTTTATCACGTGCTCAACTGTGAAGGAAAACATCGTGAGGAAACCTGCATATTTTCGAAATAATAATTTAAAAAAAAAACGACCCCCGGCGCCTAAGCCGATGGATAGATGTATGTTACTCTTTCACGCAAATACTACTGAATGGATGTTAATGAATCTTAACAATAATATAGCTTATACGTCAGAATAAAACATAGGCTATAATTTATATACATATTTTGTCTTTCTGTTTGAATGTTACGCCTTCAGCCTATTCTAAGCAGACGTAGTCGCCGGCGGCAGCTAGTCCATAATAAATGACTGTGAGGCACAGCCAGCCCAGCCCAGCAGTGGGACATGTATAGGCTAATACTAATCTTTACTTTTTATTGTATTGCTCTACCATCACCGACCTGTAAATTATCTACTGCTTCTGAATTTCATGTTGTTTTTTACGGCTACCTTTATAATCCTCGGCTTATTACAAATAACCATTTGGTAGGGTTCTAATAAGTACTAGTACGTTATCAGAAAAATAATGTGAACGTTTAAAAAGTTTCGTTTTCTAATCGGGGACAAATATATCACCCGATTTATCAAATTTTCAGTTTCGAGGCATAACTTTAACATATATCTCTGTACGAGGAACAGTTCTTTCTTCTCGGTTACGAATTTCCGAGCGCAGTGGGGCGTAGAGCGTGGGATGTGTCTTGTGATTTAGTATTATGGATGACAGTGTGCAAAAAGAATTACTTAAGTATCGTTATTTTGATAATTTTGATATTAGGTTTTGTTATTTCTATGTTGGATATTTTATAGTTTGGATTACTATGGCCAATGTTGGATATTTTATAGATTATAAATATCCAGCATGCATATATATTACAAAAAAGTGCTTTAGGAGGGCTCGCAAAGTTTTTTACGTGGTAATTTTGGAGGCAGTTTATTTAAGGGAATTAACTTTTAATATATGGGCTTCTGTTAATAATTCATCGATAAATCGTTTTTATCTTTTTTTATATCATCCAAATAAAAATAGTAATAACAGTCTATAAATTAAAAAGTATGTTTTTAATTCTTAATGCTATTAGTTTAATCCAAACATAATATTTCTAATAGGAATTTCGATTGTTTTTTTATATTTTAACATATAGGTATGAATTTTAATACTACTTCATCTATCATAGAGTATGACGGTAATCCTTCAAATGTTTTCACTCTTAAACAGCATACGTTAAACCAATAGATATTTATTAACCAACCAAAGTAAGTTTCTTCTGCCATTTCTTCGCTCGGCGCTGCCGCTTTCCGAAGTGCTAGTATATAGATAAATCTAGAAATGTTTTCAGTCAGACTATAGCTACCGATCAAGCCGAGGTCCCGCCCTCTCGGGCACCATCGATCGGAATGCAAAACGGGTATTGGTACGTACGGTTTGGCCCTTAGATGACACACCATAGTTAAACGCACGCATGAGCACATGCGCGGCCCTACCCACAGCGGAGGGCTCAAACCCGTGGGTTCTGGCTAGCCCACCGGTACTGCGTCAGATGAAGCTTTAACAGTCTCGGGACTGAAGGCAAAACATCAGTTAATACAAGATACAAGAAACGGGTATTGAGTGAGCCCAAGCCGAGCCTCGTCTAAAAGCCAGGCTAGGCGCCCCGAGCGGATCCGTAAAGGCAAAAAAAAGAAACGCCGTTTAAACTTAGGTTAACCTAACTGATCAATGAGTACCGTTTATCGGTTCCATAGCTTTAATTGACGTTTTATTTCTTAAGAACTATACATTTTAACTCAATTGTTATTATTAAAATAAGGTGCCATTGGGAACTAAGTATTAAAATCGTTCAGAGGAAAAACAGAATTATATTTATTTTTAATGCCATCCAAGCTTATTTCTTCGCCTCTGTAGACGTACCATCCGTCTTTTGTTGTCGAATACAAATAAGTATAAAGCCAAAGCCTCCGTTTTATTGATCTAATATTTACAAGATTAATTCTATCTAAAATTGCATCATCATCATCATTTCAGCCTGTTTGAGTCCACTGCTGAACATAGGCCTCCCCCACAGACTGCCATGAAGTACGATCCTGAGCCACCTGCATCCATCGACTTCCCGCAAATTTGCACATTAAAATTGCATGTTATCTAATAAACCTAATCCACGCGGCATGGTGCCAAGAACGCTAGCTGCATTTCCTCGCTGAATATTTATGAGTTAATCAATCATTTGAGCGAGAAAAGAACCAGCTCTCTTGTCACCAGGCGCGGCGTTAAGCCTAGGACATAAAAGTAAAAAAAAGTAAACATAAAGTCTTTGGCCACTTCGATTAGAAACATTAAAATTTTTGGTCATGGGGGTCATGACCCTCCCCTGGGCAGGGTCCAGGACCTAGGTGGACCACTAATTAAAATTATTAAACATAATGTTTTAATATATTTTTTGCCACAATATAGATTTTATGTAAGTACCTTCAATATTTAATTAAATTAATATAATATTTTTAACCGGAGGAGTTTCTCAATTCGATTGGTATATTTTTTTTCGATGTATGTACACCGATTACGTTGAGATTTAAGATCCGATTTACGTGATTCTTCTTTAGTTTAAGGCAGAATAGTCGCCATTTGGTCCCATTAAAATTTACCATACTTTGGCCAAGTATTATTCATTATATGAACATTTTTACAATATTTAAACGGTTTTATTTAGCTCGACACGTACGGAATTTGTTTATTTATTTGGGTCAAAATTAGAAATTGAAATTTAAGCACCTTCCCGTTGTCAGATTGATCTGAAATTTGGTACACACATTTAATTTAGATGACAATAAAATATTAACAAAACAAAATTAAACAAAAAAAAAACATAAAATAAAACCGTTTAACTTAAAAGTTTTTAAACGGTTTTATTTAATGTTAAATCTTGCAAATTAAATTTGATCTACTTCCCGGTTACAGGTTGAGCTGAAATTTTGTATACATGTGTAAATCGCAAGACAATGCAATATTTTTATGACATGGTGCTGATCTGATGATGGAGCTGGAAGAAGGCCAAAGGAACTTCGAAATGAAACGACAGAGCCTCATCGCGTTTGAGTACATTTGAATCGTATTGACCAGTAGTTTGTCTTTCATTGGTAACCAGGATCTGATGATGGA